TGAAAACCAGCCGTCTTCCTCATGATTTGGAAGAAGGGTAAAGACTTCTCCGCTGATTTAGATAGAAAGCGGTTGAGGGCTGCCAGGCGGCCCGTCAACCGTTGAACTTCCTTCACATTGCGTGGGGGTTCCATGTCGATGATGGCCTGGATCTTCTCGGGATTGGCCTCAATACCCCTTCGGCTCACCATGTAGCCCAAGAATTTGCCCCCTTGAACGCCGAAGGTGCACTTCTTCGGGTTTAGCCGAAGGTTGAATTTTTGCATGATGGCGAAGATTTCCCGGAGGTCGTCGGCATGGATGGAAGATTGTTTGCTCTTGACGATCATGTCGTCAACATAGGCCTCCATGGTGCGCCCTAGGACGGCTTGAAAGACCCGGGCCACCATCCGAGTGTAGGTGGCCCCCGAGTTCTTTAGGCCGAAGACCATTACCAGGTAGCAGAAGATGCCCTCGGGAGTCATGAAGGCAGTTTTTTCGGCGTCCTCCTCGTGCATGAAAATTTGGTGATACCCTCGGAAGGCATCGAGGAAGGACATGATCTCACACCCTGCGGTCTCATCCACCAGTTGATCAATATTCGGTAGAGGGAATGGATCCATAGGGCACGCCTTGTTGAGATCGGTGTAGTCCACGCACATGCGGAAGGTAGGGGGCTTCTGTACGAGGACTACATTCGCTAGCCATGAGGGATATTTCACCTCCTTGATGTGCTTAATGGAGAGGAGCATGGCGACCTCCTTCTTCACAAATTCCCTCCTTTCGGCGGAGAGGGGTCTTCTTCGTTGTTGTACTGCTTTTGCCGAGGGGTCCACCGAGAGGCGGTGGGTGATGACCCTTCGGCTGATTCCCGGCATGTCTTCCGGCCCCCATACAAAGACAGTGGAGTAGGCGCGGAGGGCGTCGGTGATACCGGTCTTCAGATCTTCAGGGAGCTGGGCTACAATCTTCACGACTCTCTCCGGCTGGGCCGGATCGAGCGCAAAGTCTTCTACGTCCTCGGCCAGTTCAGCCCTCGGCCTTTTTTCTTCTTGGTCGATGGTTCCGGTGATGTTGTCAACATGGAATTCCGTCTTACTTACCTTCTTAGTGACCTGAAGATAGCAGGCGCGGGCGATTTTCTGATTCCCCCGGGAGTAGCCAATGCCCCCCTCGGCGGGGAACTTGAGGCAGAGGTGCCTCACGGAGATGATGGCCTCGAGGTCCTCGAGGGCTGGCCGGCCGAGGATAATGTTGTGGGCGCAGTCGATGTTGACAACGACGAACTCCACTTCGAGCTGGGCTCTATGGAGCCCGTCTCCGAAGATCACCGGGAGGGTTATTACCCCCTCGGAATCAATATTATCGCCGGTGAAGCTGGCAAGAGGGGTCTTAATGGGCCGAAGGGACCCCCTCTCCAGATGCAGCTCTCTGAAGGTGCTGAGGTACATTACATTGACGGAGCTTCCCGTGTCAATGTAAGTTCGGTGAATGATGGTGTCGTTTATCTCAGTCCGAATCACCAAGGCATCCCTGTGAGGAGAAGAAGTAGGAGGGAGATCTGCGTTGGTGAAGGTGATGGGTTCCTCCCTCAGTCGCTTTACCGGGGGCATATGAGTGACCTCCCCCACGTAAAGCGATTGAGCCCACTTCTTCCGCTGGCTGGTGGAATCGCCCCCTGTATTGCCGCCGGTGATCATGAGGATGTGGCGTTTTTTCTCCTGGTAGTGGGGGTACTCCTCCTCTTCCTCCTCCAAGTTTCCGATCTCCCTCTTCTTGCCGAGGGGGATGGTGTTCGGGTTCACCCAAGCGTTCACCTTCGTGTGGTTCCCTCGGGGAGGTCCCTGATGAGAAGATCCTTCCTGCCGAGGGTTCTGAACAAATTGGGATAGGTGCCCTGCTTGTATCAATCTCTCGATGGCCGTTTTTAGCTGGTGGCAGTCATCGGTTCTGTGCCCCTGGTGCCGATGGAAGTGACAGTATAGGAACTGAGGGTTGATAGCATGTACCTCCGGGGGCGCGCGAGAATCGCGCTCAACGAGGCCCCTCTCCTCGGCAAAATCAAGGATGATGCTGACGGGGTGTGTCAATGGTGTCCGAGGGCGGTCCAGGAGAATGGGCTGTGCCCAAGTCTTAGGGCTGCTCTTATAGCCTCCCCCGGGCTTGGCTTGGCCTTGCCGAGGGCGGTCATCAGAGGGTTCTGAAGCCTTGGGATGATTTGGAGGAGCCCCCGGCCCTCGGTTATTCTTGTTGTCAGCCGTCGGGGGATGCTGATCCGGATGCTGGTGGTATTTCTCCACCTCCTCGGCCTCAGCATATCGATCCCCCCGCTGCAAAGCCCTTATGTAGTCGCGGGGGGGTTCAATGATGAGGCTCCTTGAAAAGTTGCCGGTGCGGAGGACGGTTTGTAGGAGGGCGAGGAGGGTCCCGTCATCAGCACCGTCCACTTTGTCGGCTTCCGTCCTCCAGCGCTCCAGGAAGTCCCGAAGGGTCTCATCTCTCTTCTGGCGTATGGTTAGGAGGTGGGAGAAGTGCTTCCTCGTGCGACGCCTCCCGGCAAATTGTGTCAAGAATCGCTGGGCGAGTTCTTGCCACGAATCAATGCAGCCCTCGGGCAGCATGTTGAACCATTCGTATGCCGGCCCCTCTAAGGTGGAGAGGAACCAACGACACAAATATTCGCCCGACGCCCCTACCATCATCATGCTGTTTTGATATTTGCTGTAGTGTTCCTGGGGGTCCGTCTTCGCGTTATAGGGCTGTATGTGTTGCCCTCGGTATTTTTCCGGGATCCGGGCCGCCAGTACCCTTGGGGTAAATGGCGTCCGGGTCCGGAGCTGGATGACGGGTTCCCCGGAGCCCTCGGCCACCTTCTTCTGTAATTCCTCCATTTTGGCCATCATGGCCTCGTATTTGAGATCTGAATGAGGGGTGGAGGTGGTGGCGTGAGCTTTGCTGGCCTCCATTTCATCAAGCCGGCGTTGGAGGGCCGCAATAATTTCGTCCCGGGGATCCTTCGGGAGGGTCTCCGCCCCCTGCGAACGAACCCGGGACAAGTGGGCCTGGTTGATCTGGTGGCGAGCATCATTGGCATGAAGGGGTGCCTTGCCTTTGTCCTGAGGGGGACGCTCCTCGTCTGCCCTCGAGACAGACCCTCCGCTTTCCTGGGGCCTTTGGAGTGCTTTCCCCCCGAGGCGGTCTTGGACCCCTCGGCGGTCTGGCCCTCCTCCGAGCCGGTTGAGGGCGGAAGTGCGGGGCCTTTCTCTGTTGTCATTGTGGCGGTCCCGGGACTGAACTTCCTGGGAGGACGTATCTTGGGCCACTACCCCTTCGTCGTTCCGAACCCGAGGGGTGGGGTTTCCGAAGGGGTGTGGCAGAGGGGGAAGTATGATGTTCTCCCCAACCTGGGGTTGAGCCGGAGCCAGGGTGCCGAAGGCACCCGGGTTCTGAGTGAGCGTTTGGATGAAGGCGGAGAGCGCCGATTGCACGTCGATGGTGAGAACCGGAGGACTGACTTGGTCATCGCTCCGGTTTTTCTTCTTGGCCTCGATGCCGAGGCGGGCATCGGGGGCATTCTGTTGGATCTGAAGGCGTAGGTCGACAACCGCCTGTTCCAGCCCAGCGATGACACCGCCCTCGGGAGCCCTGTGAGAGGCTTCGGGGGCGTTGACGTCGCCGAGGGCCAGGTTCTTGTCTTCTACGTTTTTGGAGTTGGCACGTGTTGTTCTCACCATTTTGGTAGAGGGCTAGTGTTTGGCGAAGGGGGAGAGTTTCTTACTCGATTGTTCGACCTCTCAACGAGAGCACCAAATGATGGATAGTCTACCCGGGGGTATATATCCGAGGGGTTATTGCTGAGAATAACTTAGAGAGAAGTCAGAGCACAAATAAGTAAGAGAGAGAGTGTATTATGTATCAATGTCGTGGTCACAAATGGGGAAAAGGGGGTGCTATTTATAGTAGCAATAAATGCCGGACAGGGACACGTGTCAAACGGCCATTGGCCGAGAGGTCACCTCAACTGGTTGGCGTTGGCAGCCGCATGTGGCCGCATTTAATGCGGCTGTTGGATGAGACGTCTGTACAGGGTACGGTGATCTGTACGCATGTGGCGCGGATATTATGTCGGGAGAGGTGCCTTCGACTATAGAGCAGGAGCCGAGGGCTCCTCAAACCGAGGGCACCCTGGTGCCGAGGGCTCCTGGTGCCGAGGGCTACTATTTTCACCGTTTTCTCCCAGTTTCTTAGTTTGCTTGAGAAACCCGTCCTGTGAGAGTTTCAGCCTTCGGCCAGGGGGCCGAAGGCACCCCCTGGCGCGTATTGCGGGCTGCTTGGTACTCTAGGCGCTGTGATTTGGGCTTGTTGGGCCTTCTGGGCATGTTGGGCCTTTACTGGAGTAGTAGGAGTCTGTGGGCCGGGGGTTCCCGGGCCATATACTCCATCATTACCCATTCTCTTTGCCAACATTTTTTGAAATCGCCCAAACTTGACTTCTATCATGTTACCCATTCTCTTGTCAACATTTTCTGAAATCACCTGTTGAGTCTCTAAGAGCATCTCCAATCCACATGGTAGATTAGTGCTTAGGTGTACAATAATGGAGAGGGTGTACAACCAACGGAGAGGGCCTATTAATACCCAACTCCAATGAGGAAGGAAGGAATGACTACCAAATAAAAATCATTATTAAAAATTCATTTCTCTTTGTATTGAAGAATGCGTTTAATCACAAAGGGTCTACTTGGTGAGGTGGATGATTTTTTTTGGCAATCCACCTCTCCATTGGATGTCCTAATAAGCTTTGCCAAATAAATGAGGCATTAGCTCTCACTTAGACTTCCCCAAAAGAAGTTTAAAAAGTATAGTCTTAAAAATTCATCCCACCAAATTGACTTGCCTCACAATGGTGAATCGTAGAATTTTTCTAAGTTCCCCCAACGGATGCCTTCTTTCTGAATTATGTAATTCTTGACCTCACGATTTTTTATTTTTCTTATTCACCACCTAAAACAAATTTGATGCTGTCTAATTGGATCCTGGTAAAACAAATTTTGAAATGAACAGATCCAGATTATGGGATGCAAATCTCAAAACATTATTACTTCGTATTATTCAGCCCATTGAACATACTTACACCAAAGACCATATAATTAAATCATAACTTGGTCCAAAAGGTGGAATCTCTCGCTCAAGGAGCCCCACCCGACCCGACAGGATGGTGAGGAGGTCCTCACCCAACATGATGATGGGGAGGTTAATAATGGTGACTCGATCTTCACAGCGGCGGTAGACCTTATACATATGCGCAACTGAGTCCAGCCTTATGAAATCATAACTACAATGGCACAAAGATCTCACAATAACAGAGAAAAATAAACACAAGTAACCATTAAAGCGAACACCAAGTCTAATAAAATTACAACAGGCTTTAATGATCTTCATTCCTAGTTACCAATGGCAACATTGGCAGCAGCAAGGTCTTCATCCAGGAAGATATCCCACTGCCCCTCCCATTTGATGAAGAACTCTGTGTCCTCAAAATACTTCACTCTGTGAACATCCCCGGCCGGCGTGAACAAGTAATCCCCCGCCCCCAAATCGTACTTCTCCCCTTTGCTCAGGTTCCACACGCTCTTGCTGCCGCTCAGCACAACCAGATCATGCCCAAATGTGTGGTGATGAGCCGGCTCCACGCTCCCCGCTTTGAACTTCACAAAAGCCGATGTCGGCGTCTCTCTCACTATCATCATCGATCCGCCCGGAATGATCTCGACCGGGCTGAACTCCCGGTTCTTCGCGAGCGAGCAAAGCTTACAGGGAGCGCGGTTGAGTTCTTCGGTTGAGGATTGGGATGGTTGTGCTAGGGTTCCGATTTTTGACATCTCCGTAACGGAGCTGTCGAGGAACGATTGGATCTCTGAAGGCCAGGGGTTCGAGCCGGAGGCAGGGCAGGGAGATTTGAAAGGAGTGCGGAGAAATGAATCTAGAATTCGTAAAGCGATTTCAGGGGAAGTGTTCATGCCTGAAACAGCAAGGACGTTGCAATTGTTGATCGATCGAGCGTTGATCGCCTCCTCCGGGGTGAGGCAGGTGGCGGCGTAGACGCCGGGGAACTTGTTGGCGAAGATGGCGACTCCGACGCCGGTTCCGCAGGCGACGAGGCCTCGAACCTCGACCGATGAATCGGCGGCAGCTTGGCTAACGCGGCGCCCGATTTCTTCTCCGACTGAGTAGTACTTGTCGGTGCCGAGGTCTTCGACGTCGACGTTCAAAGCGCGGAGCTGAGAAACCAGAGTATCCTTGAGGTCGCTGCCGAAGGAATCGGCTCCGGCGACGAATTTGAGGCGGCGATCGGTTGAAGCCATTTTGGCGGATTCCAGGTACAACGAATTTAGACGCCTTTGCTACCGGATAATAATAAGGGGAGGTGTAAACTCACTCACTCTCTACTCCTTGGACACTGCCCGGCTGCTCTTGTGTGGCCGGCCCCACTTGGGTGCAGAAGGCCAAATCCCTCGGTTATACGTATTCAATAAATCTAATCTAACATTAGTTTATAAATCTAATCCCTCGGTTATACTCTCAATATATTCACTCAACACATTATTGTTTACTTAAATCTTTACTTTTATTACTTCCTCCGTCCCTCAAAACTTTACCAACTTTCTAGTTTGGGATGTCCCAAAAAATTTTGTCATTTTCCTTTTTTATCAATTATTTTTTTGGTTACAATTAATTCTCTCTTCTCTGCACAAATCTCAACCACACAGTTTTTACTTTATTAATCTACGTGTCGGTCAAACTTGGCAAAGTTTTAAGGGACGGAGGGAGTATTATACATGATTTTTTCGCAAATTCTATTTTTGCATTCCGATGTAAAAATAAATAAATTTGGAGTGAAATTTTTAACCATGATATCTATTTTTGAAAACTAATAATTGAGAGATGTAAAAATATATTTTAACAATGAAATATTTATTTAAACATTTGAATGATTTGAGAAAAATGTTAGATCTACAAATCTCCAACAATTGAAACTTCTCATTTTTTTATTTTTACATATCCAATATTAGTGTCATATGAAAGATTATAAAAAGATGAATTTTGATATATTTTTATACAAATTAGAGCATAAATAAAAATGTTATAACACTTTAAAGAAAAAAATATTAATTTCACATGGGTCCCATGTTGGTCATTTCTCCTGCGTGCGTCACATCTAGTCCATGCGCCCATTTTATTCATTTAGTTTTTGAGTGAGTCGCTAGCACCCAAGGTCCTATGTATCTCATCACTAGACCTTCATATACGGATTCTATCTTGGGTTGCAGCACTCATGGGAGTCAATAGCTTCCAATTAGCTTTTTTACTCCATGGAATGCGGTTAGCCGAACAATAGTAACAAGACATTGAATGATAAATCTTGGCGGAAAATAAAATTAATGTGAAATAAAGTCCATAATTTTTAGTATTAATTACACTCAACAATTTTGATAGAGTATATAGACTCGGACCCCTGAGTCTCACGATTATTGGGTCTGGACAGCGACCCACAAACGCTTATCAGATGTTTATATTATTGTACTGTTCATATATCATTTGTATGTATTAGATTAGTTTTTTCTGGACAGCGACCCACAAACGCTTATCAGATGTTTATATTATTGTACTGTTCATATATCATTTGTATGCACTAGATATGGATAGGCCCATATTAGCGGTCCAGACACGCAGCCCAGCTGCGGACCGATCCAGTGGTTGGTGGCAGACGGCCACCACTGCCACCGCCGCCCAGTTCGCCAAACAGCCGCTCGCAACTCGTTCTTGCCATCATAGCGTCACCAGATGCCTATGGCAGCTAGCTCTACCACCTCTCCAGCAGGCTGCCTCTTCGCCTCCGTCTCAGATTTGTCGGGTGTCGCTTGACCTAAGCCTCTTGTAAGGTTTCTGCCATTAAAGGCGGTTTGAGGGCTCTGCTCACGACCCCAACATCTGCAATAAACAACCAATTCTGCCTAGCTAATGGCCCGGATATGGAATTCTAGGAGCAAAGCTCCCTAAAGATTACGGCCAAATCGAGTTCAGGTAATGACGGTAATGGTCTGGGTCTAAGTTTCTGATCTCACGCAGATGCCCGGACTACGCGACGGAGACACATGGTCGAGTGTGCCAAGCTAAGGCCCACCGTGACCTGTAAACCTACTAATCTTCTTCTCTTGGAAAGGAAAGCTTCTTCTCCCTACGACCTTGACCCCCGGAAACGTACACTACTCTAGGTGTAAGGAGATTGTCCAGGTCACAGCAACAGATACAGTAGGTGGGGGAGCCCATGACTCTAGCTATAACTCAATCGGGCCGTCCATCAGCAGAAATGTTCAACTCCTGGCCCAAGCTATCAATTCAGACTGCCCACTTCTTTCAAAAAGCTAAGTACTCCAAAACTATCTCCATACATTTGATACGTAAATAAATGTGATTAAAATGCCCAAAAAACACATAAATTAAAATATTTTAATAATATGGAATCAAACTTCAATCTCGAGAGGCGAGTCATCCGTTAAAAGACCCTTAAATGCGTATGTCTGGCGGATCCCAGCTACGAACTTGAGTGACGAGTTGAGCTAGATTATTAATTTAGTATCATTAATTTTTAAATAGTGTGTATTTTTTGACATTGAAAAAACGGACTTATGAATTCCGAGCACTCGCGTACACCGGGCGAGCACTCGCGCTACCGGGTCACGTCAAACGGGTGTGGCAATAATAAGCTCCAAATCCAAATGTTATCTAATACACACTCTAGTTTCTACGTTTTGTATGAGTTATGTGTGCCCTCTAGCTTTCGGAAATGAACTAAATCCCCCAGCGGTGGGTTCAATCCTTTAAGCGTGCCACGCTCCAACCATGGGCGGAGCTAGGAGTGGGCCAACCTAGGCCATGGCCCACCCAAATTTTAAAAATGGCTTAATTTTTAAGGTAAAAAATTTCGTGTAAATTTTTTTCTAAAAATATTCTTTGTACCAGCCCAGTGTTCTGGCTCCGCTCATGGCTCCAACTAAACATAGAAACCTAGCTTGAGCTCCAGCTTGAAAATTTGAGGCCACTTAATGTAGGTCCAAACCCAATAGCGAATTATAAGCTCAAGAAATTATAACATTTTTTATTTGAATGCATAGGTGCAATTAAATGATGACTTGGATTTTATATCGGCCTCTTGGCCATACTCTTGGTCATCTTTATTTGATGACCCGAACATCATTATGGACGGTCGCTCGACCTGTCTCTTAGTCATCTTTATTTGATGACTAGGATTACCTATCATGTCGAGCTACGCACATACGAGGACTGATCTTGACCATCCCCTTAGCAGATGTCGATGGTTGCAGTTCCATGCCCAGCCCGAAGGTTCCCCCCCTTTTGCTTCATTTTGGGGGCATCCAGTGTACTCTTTTTCCCTCATCAGGATTTTTCCCCACTGGGTTTTTTCCAAATGAGGTTTTTAACGAGGCATCTTCCCATTGTGGATCAAAAGGTGTCGACCCTCGGCCCCCTATTGAAGACATCACGAAACATGCTCTATTTTACTCCTCTTCACCTCACTACATTCACCTCAAGGAGTGGAGGACTGGAAGAGTGGGAGATTTATTCGAAGAAGCACAAATTCAAAATTTTTCACGAAGTTACTCACCAGACTACAGATCATCACACAGCTCTACTCCCTTTCGCCTCGAGTACTCTCGACTCAGGGAGTGGGGGACTCCTGATAAAGTATATAGACTCGAGCCCTCGGGTCTCACGACTATTGAGCCTGGACAGCGGCCCACACACACTTATCGGATGTTTGTATTATTGTACTGTTCATATATCGTTTGTATGTACTAGATTGGTCTTTTAAGTAGTTGGGCCTATCGGGCCCATATTAGTTGCCCGACCCATTATTTATCTATTTATACTCCCTTTAGGAGACCTGTAACCCTAGTTCCTAACTCTTAGAATCATTATTACACAAACAATATCACTATTCATTCATCTTCCTCTCTATAGCTCAATCTCTCCATTTAATTATATGTTTGGATACCCCCATAATCCATCAAGTTTGTATATCAATCAAGTGGCGGAACAAGAGCAGGGATCTTGGAGGAGCACATAACTCGAAAGGGAAGGTGTTTGGCAACTTGGTAAGGGGGGCGGCTAGCTCCGGCATTAGAATTTTCGTTTTCAATAAAGCGGACGGCGACAAGAGGAAGTGTCGAAGAGGTTCCGACGCTGGATATATATTACGTAGTAATATTTTTTTAAATAAAAACTAAGGATCCATGAAATATATTTAATTTAATGATGTTGGATAGATATTAAAGCGAGGAGTACTACCTCCATTCCATTTCATTTGTCTTATTTAAGTTTAGCAAAATCATTAATAAAGTGGTTTAAATTTAAATTTGTGATTGAATTTAAAAAAATTAAATTGTATGAATCAACTTTTTTGCTATAGAAGAAAGCAAAACACTTATTTTTGGTAACTTGCACTACGAAAAAACACAAAATTTGTCAAGATTATTAATCAGGAATATCGTCCCTAATAAGGTTGTCTGAGATTTGTCAGGGATATTAATAAAAAATCAAGCAAGCAAGGTTCCTCATAGAAATATCTCGGGAGAAGGGGCATATTAACGACTAAAATTTGGATAAAGAAGCACATTAGACACTAAGGTTATTTTCAAAGCAAATACCTCAATATTTTAGCTTTTGGGGGCATAACATCCAAAAACGCGATTTTAATCTTTTTTCATCGGATTTTGGTCCTTTTCATCCTGGTCTTCTTCGTCAATGATAGGTCTGAAAATCTCAAAAAACTTCAATCGAGCACATGTTTGCGCTAATACCAATTGCAAGATCCTAGTTGGAGTATATGGCCCAGGAATCCCTGACCCTCATACTTCCACTACTATGAACTGGCCCTACAGGTCCAAGTGGCCCAAACACATCAAACAAGAGCCCGGGGACGCACGGACTTAGGCATATGAAGCCCCCCAGGATACGTACGTCCTTCAGCACATGAAAGCCTCTAGGTTACGTACGGCCTCCGGCTATGTACGGCCTCCAACACATGACAGACATCGGGGATGTACGGCCTTCGACAGATGAAGCCTCCGAGGTACCTACGTCCTTCAGCACATGGCGATCCACCGGCTACGTACGGCCTTAGGCATATGAAGGCCCCCAGGATATGTACGTCCTTCGACACATGAAAGCCTCCGGGTTTACATACGGCCTATGGCTACATACGACCTCCAACACATGACAGCCCCCCCCCCCCCGGCTACGTACGGCCTCCGGCACATGAAAGCCTCTGAGGTACGTACGGCCTCCAGCGATACCCCATCAAGATCTCCTCTCTGCATGCGCTGAATCACCGCATTGAATGCAACGTCACATCCAAACCACCGCATTGAATGTTACATCTTTTTATAAGCAAGTTACATCTTTTTATGAGGGAGTTACATCTTTTTATAAGCAAGTTACATCTTT